CCAAAAAAAAAAAAAAAAAAAAAAAAAAAATTCAATCTAAATTCTCCTCTTCACCAAAGAATTTCTTACAATGATACTCAAAAAGAAAAAAAAAAGATCTCGAAAAGCCTGAAAAATTACAGTTTACCTGATAACCAGCTAATTTGACTTTAAGCTTTTTTTCCATTTTCGCAGTTTTCTTTGCTCGTGTGTTCATCCAGTCTCGATAAAGCTGAAACATTTAAAGAATCAAGCTTTTTGAGCCACATATTTGGAAAAAAAAGCTTAAAATCATCTAACAAAGCTGCGGGGGATGAAAGAGATACCTGGAATTTGGCCGAAAGTGCATCAATCTGATCTTTTTTCGGCAGCACGCCCAGACGCGTGAATTTATTTTGTGCCAAAATGAGTTCTGACGAGCACTGCTCAATTATGCCCCAAAAATTTGCGTTCAACGTAAGTTGCTCCTCCTGAAAATTATTAGTTCATTCTTGCGCACTAAAAAAAGGATCGGAATGGTCGGGAGAACAAATAGTAGCAACGGCAAAAGCCTTTCACTGAAATATTTCATCCGCAAAAACCGAAATTTATTTGCACTCACCGGCCTCAGTTCACTTTCGATGATCTTTTTGGCTGCTTGCAATTCATCCAAAGAAAGATCCTCCAGGTGCTGTCCGTCAACATCGTGTCTCAAAATATTCAGCATCTCAGCTTTGATCAAATCATCCGCCTAAAACTATCAGATATTGATTTGGATGCTATAAACAAACAAAATTCGGTAAATTCGGCAACTGAATGACTGCTCAATGGAAGCATTCTGGGTAATTTCTCTTGTAATTGTACCATTTGTGCTACAGATCTACTTATAATTTCTGGAACACTTTACCAAAGAAAAAATATCAGCTTGGACATGACTTAACACCGGTTTAAGAGAAAATATCTGATTAAATTTAATTAATATAATATCACTAATCCCACTTGCAGGCATTTCAGATTTTAAGGAGAGTATGATCAAACAGCTGTAGCTTCCCGAATTTCAGCTCTATTTTTAAATGCTGTGCATCTGCGCAAGGACCTCAGAAAATGATAAAAAACCCATGATTTCAATACAGTTAAATAAGATTAATTTCAAATACGATGAAAAGATATATGAATAACGTATGAAAAAACAGATATCATCGCATATATATTATCGTTAATGGCTAGTATATAACATATGAAACAATAGCTGGTCAAACTGTCAAACTGTCACAGCTAATATTTTTCCGAAAAGCTACTGTTTTGTCATTAACACATCAAATATTTCGAAAAAAAGAAAAAAAAATCCTTTTTTCCAAACCAAATTTGCACAAATTCGCCCTCTACTAACCAGATTTGCTTTGCTTTAAAGTCACTGTTCAGGACTACAAAAAAGGATGGGACAGCCAAAATTCCCAACTGCAGCTTCTTTACTTTTCGAGTTGTAAAGCTAATCTGAGTAAAATTATAGTTTTAGAGAGATACAGGACGGGATCCGCTGATTCTGTTTTTGTAGGCTCTTCAAGGAGAGGCACTATGTTTCTAAAATCCCAACTTCCTAGCTTAGATTAAGGACACATACACACACACACACCACACACACACACACCACACACACACACACCACACACACACCACACACACACACCACACACACACCACACAAACCACACACATGCACACACACATACACGCAAATATACACACAAACACACACATACACACACATCCACACACGCACACACACACACACACCCAAACAAACAAAGCCTCGCTATTGTGCATTTTCATCAATAAAAATGCAATGGCGCATAGAAAGGGGACGAATTTAGCTCAAATTCTGTAGAATAAAACTTTTGTAAGACACAACTGCTAACAGAACTTTGGACGTACCCTGCTGAAATCGGTTTTGCTTGCAGCTGATTTGAAGCCTTGTTCGTTGATTTTGGTAGGTTTTGGCAGAGCGCGTTGTACAACCTGGGATTCCTTTTTGAGTTTTTGCAATCGTGCCATCTCACGCGCCTGTGCATTACGCGCATCCACCTGAAAATATGCATAATTAATAATATGCATATATCTGTTAATAACCACTTTTTATAAAAA